TTCTATAGAACCTCACTGGGTGTCTATGGAAGGATAGAGGGATGAAAGGATAAAAAGGATAGCAAGGTTAGACAGCTACTAACAGGAAATACAGTTCCAGGCTTTTTTTTTTTGGCTTAAATGATGGCTACAGCTTGAAAATTAATGCATCAAAACGCATCAACACACTTCTTTGGAAACATGGCAGGATGAAAGTCTCGAAAGTGGTAGAAGAATTAGTACATGTTATATATTTAATGGGCTCAAAAGATGAATCTTCCTACAAAATTCATTGGAGATGGACGGATGAATGGAAAGTCTGGGGGATGAAAGGGCAGTCATGATTTGATTTGCTTTAGCAGCTGTATCTATGTACCCAGTTGGATGGATCTGGTTGACTATTTAATGAGTAAGAAGATCAACGGGTTTCTATTGGGTTGGCTAATGAAGTAAGAAAGGAAGAATGAAGGAGGAGTGGAAATATATGTATGTGTGAAGTTATGTCAGGACTATGTCAAGACTATGTCAGGTGTCAAAGGACATTACATTATGACAATCTTTGAAGGATGTAAAACAAGAAGTAAAGAAGAGATGTGAGTATTTTACGTTGCCACAAAGCTGAAAGCATACAACTGTCTAGAAAGTCTTTATATGCTAGAGCTTAAAATTAAAAAAAATTTCCATTCACTGGAGCTAAAGGGCCCAAACCTGTTCCAGCATGACAATGCCCCTATGATCTCAACCCCACTGACCACCTTTAGAATGAACTTTTATTTATTCACTTTATATTAACTGTTTTTGTGCATTAAACATATAAAACACTTCTGAAATATTCACATTCATTCCACTGTAGCTCAAAATAAAAATAACTAAAAAGTAAAAATAAGGTTATTTCACTTATAAAAGTGATATCAATAATGTACTTAATACTAAGTCTGACATCAGTGACCTTGCACCACATATACATTTCAAAAAATCACACACACACACACACACACACACACACACAATCAACATTACATACCATTGCATAATTAGTTAAATAAAAGTTTATACTATTATAATATGTACATGTAAGTTCAGCACATGTGAATTTCTCTAAAGGAAGATGGAAAGATGAATGAAGGATACGCAAGATCAAAAAAAGTTTTGTACTGGGGATAAAAAGAAAAAAGTTCTTTATGCTAAATTTGTTGGATGCAACTCAAACAAAAAAAAAAAAAAACTTAATTAAGGATAAATGGTGTCTACGGATCATCTTTATAGACTTGTTCATCAAACCTGACAGGCTTGCCTTGTTTCGTACTGACACAAATACAGCTCTGTGCTGTAAGGCTTGTGTTGGTGGCTTGTGTGTTTACGTCAACACAGAATGGTGCAAGAACTCGCTGCTGGTTTCTAGTGACTGCTGGTCGCTGGTGGAGTTTGTGACTGTTAGATGCAGACCATTTTATTTACCACAGGAATCCACCATTGTCCTTATAGTGAGAGTGTACATTCCCCCCAGTGCTAATGCTAAAGAGGCACTCTGTGAACTGTATATGCACAAAAAGCTCTGTCTCTTTTGGCCAAGTTTCTGTGTTCCCAATGGTTAGGTCATGCCAACCAGTTAATGATGATTGCCAGAAGAAACCACCTTTAGGAGCCCAGCCAGAGAGCGAAGAGCATACAAGCAGGAAAAAAGAGCAGACAGCACGCAGACGCAAGGATCCAATTACCTCAGAACTATCTCAGACCACGTTATTTTTGTGTCGTGATTATTTTCTGTATGCAAACATCTTATGTTATGGTGTTCAAAAGCAAAAATCATATAAGGAGGATGAAGGGAAAGGGCTGAAATGAAGTCAAGAACTGTTTAAATGGTTAATATGGGAATAGAGTGCAATGTAATGCTAACTAACTAGCAAAATTAGCTACATCTGCTGTTCTCAAATAGAAACTGAAGAAGAACCTAAAAGCTAAAAGGATCTATTCAGCTAGTAGCATCTATTAATTCTCTGCCAATAAACACGCAGGTATCGTGACGCGATGTCCGCTCGAGCTCAAGATGAAGAAGAGCAGAGAGGAAGACATGTGGCATGGAAAGATCCAGTACCATGATTATGAGGAAGAGATTCATGATCCAGCAGATGTGGAGAAAAAGATTAGAGAAGGTATTGCACAGACCCTGATACATAACATAAAATAACTTTAACTATATTATTATTATTATTATTATTATTATTATTATTATTATTATTATTAAATCTTCAACTCTGCCATCAACAACAAAATCAAGAAAATTTGAAAATTTGTTACTCTTAGTAACATTTTATATTGTTACAGATTGGAGCATAAATGGATTTAATTAGGATTATACATATGTAATGAATCTACCGAAAGTAATACTAGTGTGTGTGTGTGTGTGTGTAGGAATTCCCTCCCATTGGTGTGTTATGTTAGCTAACG